GGGGGGGGGCAGAACGGGGGATTGAACTCAGGCCCTTGTGCTTGCCAGGGAAGCGCTTATTACACTGAACCATCTCCCCACCCCCCCTTTTTTTATTTCCTAATGGGTTTCAAGTGGACCAAGATACCTACCTACTTTTTTTCTTTAGAAAACTAAATGTAACTCTCTCTGTGAGAATGGGTGTGGCCTTGTAGTACAGGACGCTGTATTAGGCACACAGGCCACCAGACTCTGGGACTTGGACTCTGCCTGCTGAGTTGTAATCTGTGGATCTGGCCTGGTCAGGAGTAGGTTAACAAGTTTCCCCGGGTGACAGTGGTGGACACCCTGGCCCAGAAGCACTGATTTAAAGGAAAGGTGACCTCTAGTGCCTAAACTAGATGAAAATGTGAGTGACTCACCTCCTAAAGGAGTTAACTTTTCTTTCTTTTGCAGCATTGACAGTAGTAGCATCTTCAGTGTTCGATGCTTTAGAACTACAGCTGTGTGCAGTGAGTACATGTTTTCCTATAAATGGTGTTGTAGTAGAAAGAATTTAATTAAAGAGACTTAAAAAGGGGAAAAGGGACTACTCGTGATTTTTGCTTTATTCCTAGAGGATGATGTGATTACAGTCAGTACCCCAGCATTTGCGGAATCTGTCACAGAGGGAGACGTCAGGTGGGAGAAAGGTAGGATTTAGTTTCCTCTCACTTCTTAAGTAGTTGCCTTACCTCTGTACTAATCAGCAGAATCAGGAATAGAACTTAAGACCTTGTGCTTGCCAAGCAGTCGCTTGTGCTGCTGAGCTATATCTCTGACCCCACCCTTTTCTTTCATATAGGTACATAGCTCCATCCCCCAGCCACATAGAAAAGGGGTGTATAATATATAATATCTGTGGACACTCTCATGGCTGTTGGAGCCTTTCCCCTGACAAGTGGTCTTTGATTGTCTTTTCAGCTGTTGGGGACACAGTTGCAGAAGATGAAGTGGTTTGTGAAATTGAAACAGATAAGGTGAGCTTGTCCTATTATTAGAGGTGATTTTTTTTATGATGAGCCATGGGCTGCTTAATTTAAAGGAAAAAACAGGGAGTTAACTTTTTTATGTATTTGATACAGGGTCTGCAGGATCTCACTAGGTGGATCGGACTCATAGTGATTCTCTGGTTTTCAGCCTCCCAAGCACTGGGATTATAGGCGCGTGCCACCATGCCCAGTCTCAACTGCTGTCTCAGTGTGCCCCGGGCGAGGACTGTGCTGGGGATTGAACCCCAGCCACTGTGCCCTGCTTAAGCAGGCACTGTAGTCCACTGAGCTATCTGGCCAGCCCTATTTTAAATGTCTTTTTAAAGGTAGTTTTTAACTAGCTCTAACCTCAGTTGTAAAAGTGATGGAGTAACTCATTAAAAAGAAAAGCTTTTTTTTTGGTGGAACTGGGGATTGAACTCAGGCCCTTGTGCTTGCCAGGCAAGTACTTATACTGAGCTATCTCCCTAGCCCCAAGGAAAGCTATGGTAGATTTTTCTGAAGTATGTACTAAGGACAACTAGTAACTTCACTTTAATAACTTCAGTAACTATAACTTTAGTGTTTTTTTTCCTTCCATGCATAAGTTGTTCCAATTGCTTTTCCATGAATCATTTGGAAACGCATTAGCTGAATTTGTTTTAAGATTTCCAAGACAGATCTCTTGAAGACATAGGGGTAGGCAAAGAGTTCATGAACAAAAACCAAATCGCACGGGAAACACTTGAAAGAATTAACAACTGGGACCATCTCTTATTG